GCTTCGATTTTCTTCAATAGTACCTTTTCTGATAGGAAAGTGAATTTAGTTGGTACTTTGGGGGGTCAAAAGTAAACATTTTCCAGTAGTTTTCACAAGCGCCGGGGAAAACAACATAAAAATTAAGGAAAAACGGGAATTTTTACGCAAATCGATTTTCCAAAAAATCGAATTTGGTTATTGGTGTAACTTTAAAACAAATGACCGTAGATACATGAAATTTTCACTGGTTGTTTATATTTGCATTTTCTATACACGATAACATTTTCAAAATATTTTGATTTATTTTGAACTGTTTAGGGACATTTTCATTTTTCATTTTTTTTTAGTTTTTTTTCTAGAAATATCAATAAAATTTTATTTGTTGGTTGCGAAAGCTTGAAAATTTAATAGAAGGCTCCTATAATATGTTGTTTCAAGGGCAGATGAAAAATATTAAAAATCCTTAGTCCCAATTTTTTTTATAAGCATTTAAAGTTCAAAAATTAACAAAATATGGAAAAATCACGAAAATTAGCAAATTATTTTGAGTTAAGAATTCGTAAAAATTTTTCTTTTTAAAATCTAATATTGAAAATGAAACACAAGATTCCTTATAAGATTATCTACCTTTATCAATAAAAAAATCTCTACCGGACCAGTCAAATACAATTTTTATGAGCGTTTGAAATTAAAATTTTTACAACATTGGATTTTCACTCGATTACTCATGTACCGATTTCCTTATTTTGTTGCAATTCAAAAACGAACAACTGTAGATACATGAAAATTTCACTGAATGTTTAAATTAGCATTTTCTATACACCATACAATTTTGAAAATATTTTGACTCTTTTTGAACTGTTTATGGACATTTACAGCTTTCAATTTTTTTAGTTTTTTTTTTCTATAAATATCAATAAAGTTTTATCTGTTGATCTAAAAAGTGTAAAAATTTAATACAAGGCTCCTGATATATTGTTACAATAGCAGTTGAAAATATTAAAAATACATAGGTACCTACATTTTTTTTTTTTATAACCATTGAAAGATCGAGTTTTGACAAAATTTATCAAATTTAAAATTGAATAATTTTTTGTAGTTAAAATGTATAAAATGTTCAATTTTATATCTAGAGTTGACAATTTAAAACAAGATTCCAGTAAGTATTTTATTCTGGTACCAAAAAATCTAAAAAATACATAAACACAGTTAATTTTTAGTCATTTTAAGTTCAAATTTGGACGAAATTAAATATTAAAAATCTACAATAACTATATGGGTTATTTTGTAGTGAGTATAATAGTATTTTTGGGTAATTGAACTTCTTAAGTATACTATTATATATCTATTATAGTATCATGGTTTGTTGTTGATGTATAACAAGTTATAAGTACCCATTGGCTATTGTGATATGATTAATTATTATTATAGGTACAATTTATTATTTTTTTAATATCATCGATAAGTATATAATTATGTCTTATACCTAGAGTGACATACCGTCATTCTTATACAATGATATTATATCATTGAATTCAAAATTAATACCATCCATTATACAGTGACTCACTTGTAACCTACTGTACAGCAGAGCACCTTTTTTTAAAATTTAAATCCCGGTAGTCGAATTTTGGACAAGTACCTACATAGGTAACTTATAATAATTCATATTGTAATTTAATTAGGTACCAATAAAATATAACTTCTCTAACATATCTAGGGGCACTGGCGGGAGAATGTATTAGAATGTCTATAACATTGAGGACCTGCAGTTTGTGTAGTTAAATTTGGCATGCGAACCATAACAGAAATAGAAAACTAGAATAGGTACATTGCAGATCACAAATATTTCTGTAAATGAACATATGATTTATCAATAGGCCGTATTATAGGTAGATACTGAGCATAATATATAAGTTCCATTTTATGATACAATTCTACAAAAATAATGACAGTTTTAAAAGGAATAATACAATTTGTATTTGTGTATAATTCAGCATGTAGCATAGGCTTATTAGGCACAAGTTTTATTATAATTTTAACTTGTACCTAGCTTTAATTAAATTTTGATATTTACATTGTGTCATATAAGCAAAAGAAAAAAAATTATTAAATAAGAATGTACTTATGCACTAAAAACTGGCAAAATATGCCTTTAAAAGTTCAGAAATATGCATTCATATGCACTCAAAATCTAAAACTATACATTAAAAATAAGTGGATTAAATAATGAAGACATCAAATGCAATTTTCGAAATAACAAGAATTATCTATTCATATTTTTAATAATTTTACATTGCGACAAAATTATTGCATTTTTCATTAAATTTAATTTTTCCGTATTATTTCAATAGAAAAAAATGTATGTTAATAAAATAATATCAATATAGTAGTATCAAAATTATATGCCTAGACAAAAAAAAACATGATTAGAAATAATATTTTTAAGAATATGTTATTATAGAATTACTAAATAATAATTAATATGGTACAAATTTCTTACGAACATGTCTATTTTGTTCACCGTGACTACTTTCTGCTTTTTTAGTGGGATAATAATTACTATCATGGTTAGTGTAAATAGCTGCTAATGGAGAAATATTGTTTAATGCATTTACCTAAGTCATTAGCCACAATATCATAATTAGTGTCCTCAACTGAACTAAAATAAAAAAAATATTTATAGTATTACAAAATATATTATCATTACTTATTATATCTAAATTGTAATTATAACAATACATAAAAACAATTGCAAAATATTTATCTAAAGTACATACTTTAACAAATATGTAGTGGGACTGACAACAATATTCTTCTGGTTTTCATGATGGTTAAAATTTGTAACACTAGTAGGTGAAAATGGAGGATCGCAATAATTAAGTAGATCCTCAATACTTCCTTTATTTTCAAATACATAATCATCATTAGCACTGTAAAATATAAAGTTTAATTATTACCAATAGTGTATGTATATTGTATACATATTGAACCAAATAAATGTATATAAATTAACATGACACAAAAAAAAAAAATAATAATAAAACTATTACATAATTTTATTGTTAAATAAGCAACACTTACTTTATTAAGATTGATATACTTTTGGTATCAAATTATTTTCATTTAGCTTATGCAGATGATATTGTAGTATTAGGGAAGACCAAAGAAGAAATTATTCAAACAACCGAGAAACTGGTCAAGACAAGTAAGTCAATGGGCCTATGTATAAATGAAAATAAAACCAAGTATATGATGATGTCAAGAAATAATCAGAATACAAACGATCTTTTAATTAGTAACATGAAATTCAAAGCTGTAGATAATTTTAAATACCTTGGAGTAAATGTCAATAATAAGAATAATATGCATCAGGAAGTGAATGAAAGAATTATGTGTGGAAACAAGTGTTATTACAGTATAATCAAAATACTAAAATCAAAATTACTTTCAAGGACATCAAAAATTCTTCTATATCATAGCTACTTTTTTTTTCTTTTTTTTTTTTAAACCGCAGACAGGGAGGGAAGTAGGTTTCCCCATTGCTGCCTCCCTGCCTACATCATTTATTGATAACAACAAACAAACATCACATTACTGAACGATACAATTACGAAAATTATTATACAACGAACGGGGGCCTCTAACCACCCACTTTTGGCCGTTTCAGCCCACATCATCAAGACTTAACTACGGTTCATTTCCTTCATTGTTGGGGATTTGGATCCTGGTGCTGCATATCATAGCTACCTGGGCCCAATTGTAACCTATGCTTGTGAAACATGGTCCATAACAAAAAGTGATGAAAGGAAATTAATAATATTTGAGAGAAAAGTACTCCGTAATATCTATGGACCACGTTTCAACCAAGAAACCAATACCTACGAAAGAAGAACAAACGATGAATTACAGAAATTGTACAAAAGACCAAATATCTTAGCGTTTATTGGAAACAAACGACTAGAGTGGTTTGGACACACTTGGAGAGCAGATGGACTACTAATAAAAAAAGTGCTTGTTGAAAAAATTAACAAAACAAGGCCCCTAGGAAGACCAAGAACCCGATGGATGGATGTGATAACCAGAGACTTGAATGCGATAGGCCAAAATGTAACCTTTGAGCTGACGTACAACAGAGATAGATGGCGAGACCTCTTGAAGGCAGCAATGGTCCTCAACGGACCGGTAAGCTGAGAAGAAGATACCACTGCTAGAAATCTCATACTTTTGCTCTTCATCATGTTTTACCTCAAAAAAACTACAAAAAAATAAAATTATATTAATAAAATACTATAATTAGTAAACAATTATAAATTTATAAACATATTAAGAAATATAGCTTATGCTCCCTACATTTGCGAACAAGAAAGTGTGTCTGGATAGTATACTAACTTGTGTTTATTTACATGATGCAACCATTGTCTTACTTTAGAGTTTGACTCTATTGAGTCAGCCTGCAATGCTGCATGCCATAGGGATGTAATGGCAAAGAAGTTGAATCCGTTGGTAAATTACTTGTACTGCTTTTAACAGTACCTAATGTATTATATTTTTTAGATAAATTGATCAACTTCGCTGACCGGTTTCTTCTATGCCGGGATTCCATAGAAAATACTAAAGTGCTGCTGAGTGCCGCCCTTGGCATGGGCCTATGTCGCCTACCCCTTGAACTATGTTTGAACCAACTGTAGTATGAGCGGGAATTTTGAATTTATTATCTTTTGTCAGCTTATTTTTGATGATAAGAGAAATTGTTATTTATTTTGTGATAACGAAGCTTTTTTATTTCTGATGATAACAATCCGAGTAAATATGCCAATAACCAGCTGTATATTTTAATAATTGGACCATGATGGCATGAATGCATGATACTAATGCTAAATGCACTATCTTAGTTCATGCTCACAAGTCACAACTCACAGGCCGAGACGACGTGGAGTTTACATTTTACTATTTTTAGTATTTTACAGCAGAGTGCAGAAGTCATTACTCGTGACTGAAATCGCTTAACAAACATCATGTCTGAAGGCACAACCGTTGACGCTGTGGAGAAACTTTCTATTGGTAATTAAAAGATAATTGATAAATGATCTATGTATAGGTGATTTGCGTTAAGATTTCCTATGGAAATTGTTGGATGTAAAAATATGAAATTACTAACTACTTAGAGTGCCACATAGGCCTACCGATTTTTAGGATTTTAATCGGTTCTATAAAAAAATAACTGTCCATATTCAATAAGACATAATATTTATTATTTATTATTATTCATATTTCATTGTTCAGAGTTCGGGCTATTAAAAAAATGTTTGCCTATATATTATACAGCCGAGCATTCGAGTTCAACTCGTTAACTCACCGAGCTTATCCGTGCCTGATGGCTGATTACATAGGTACATTAAACATGGCGTAGATGATAATAATTAATAATAATACCACAGACTAGAGAAAAGTTTTATTTAATCTGTGATAATACTACACTGTAGCACGTAAACGACTTGTAATAAAATGCATATTAATAATTATGTACCTATATGGCATATAATTTTGATGAACATTTTTAGGTGAACTCTTCACATCAGAAAAACATGGTGATGATACGTCTGGTGATGGTTCGGAGTTAAAACCTTTCAAGACTATATTGCAGGCCATGAAACATGCTGGAAAAGAACCATTTCCAGTGATTTATGTAGATTCTAAAGCCGAAGACAATGTATGTGATAAATACTTTTTTTTTCATAGAATAGTATTTTGTTATTTTGGTGAATAACCATGTGCATATCATTATTGAAAATAATATACTGGCCAAATTAAATTTATTTGACAGAAATTTGAACCTGCTCCTAAAACTCAGTTAAAGAAAAATCAAAAATTTTGGGTCAGAGAGCATCATAAAAATGTAGAAAAAGCCAAAAAAGAAGAAGAAGATGCTGCTAAAAGGAATAAAAATCTAGAAGAAGCAAAAAAATTGATATTATCTGAAGATTCTACTTTACCACCGGCAACTTTAATTAAAATAAAAAATGCTTCTGGATATCGAAATTCAAGGATTAAAATCTATGGATGGGTACATAGACTTAGGAGACAAGGTATTTTTAGTTCTATAATATTAAGGCTAAGTGATTGTCTTAACTACCTTGACAATCACTGATTAAAGTTAAATAATAATGCAAGTTTTGATTCAGTCAATTCAGATAAGTGCAATAAACTTGTTATAATTAGTAAAATTTTACAGGAAAATCATTAATGTTCATCACATTAAGAGATGGCACGGGTTTTATTCAAACAGTTCTTAACGAAAAATTATGTCAAACCTATAACGCTTTAATGTTGTCTACTGAATCATCTGTTCTTCTTTTTGGAGTTTTGAAAGAAGTTCCTGAAGGAAAGTCTGTAAGAATAACTTACTAATAATTTTACTAATAACTAACGTTTAGTCAAAGGTGTAACTATACAAACTTTTTTCTATGTTAAATAGGCACCAGGAGGGCATGAACTTCAAGTTGATTATTGGGAATTAATTACATTAGCACCGCCTGGTGGTGCTGATTCTATATTGAATGAAGATGCCAATCCAGAGGTGTTATTGGATAATAGACATATTGCAATTCGCGGAGAAAATGTAAAATTTGATTAATGGATTTTCAATTATGCTTCATGATTTTATTATTTTGTACTTTTTAGACATCCAAAATTTTGTTAATGAGATCAGTGGTAACCCAAGCATTCCGTATGCATAATTTAGATAAAGGCTGCATTGAAGTTGTACCACCTACATTAGTACAGACTCAAGTGGAAGGCGGGTCTACATTGTTTAAACTGGATTACTTTGGGTGAGGACATTTTTACCATAGTATAATATTGTTAGGTAACTATAAAAATGTTTAATGTTTAGACAAGAAGCATATTTGACTCAAAGTTCTCAGCTTTATTTAGAAACTTGTTTACCAGCACTTGGTGATGTATTTTGTATGGCACAAAGTTATCGTGCTGAACAGAGTCGTACAAGAAGACATTTATCTGAGTAAGTGGTTTATAAAACATGTGTTTTCCATTTGCTATTTAACAGGACTATAATTACTTTTATTTTAGATATACTCATGTAGAAGCTGAATTTGCATTCATTACTTTTGATGATCTACTTGATCGAATTGAAGATATGATTTGTGATGTAGTGAACCGTGTTTTGGAGTCACCACATGCAGATATTGTGAAACAATTAAATCCAGTAAGTTTTTAGACATTTAAGTACAACATTTTTTTATTAGAGCACATGTACTAAGCAGTATTCTCTGTCCCATGAGAAAACCTACTTATTTTGTGCGTGTCGACTAACCCTCTTACCACTGTCAATTGGTGTATAATTATTGACTTAGGTCGGTGGCCTTTTATATTATCTTTAGAATTTGGATGCTGTAGCTTATAGAATATAAGCACTTAAAATATTGCTAAACTGCACTAAAAATGCTACAAAAAAATACTTATATTTATATATGGAACTAAGTTTTTTTTTATAATTTATACTGAATTAACCCTATTTAAAATATATTTTTAAAATTACTTAACTGTATAGATTATATTATTACCGTGCAGAATAAGACATTTTAATTTATAGCATTTTCCTAATTAATAATTAATAACAAATTATATAAAAATAATAAATACACTCGTGACTTGATATAAAACAATTAGTTATTTAATCTGTTACATAATAAAAGAACAATAAGAACAATTGAAGGTTTAGGTTAAAATAAATAAAAATAAAAATAAAAAGGCAGATTAGACAGACTGTAGAGGCCTCCCAGTGGAGGTACTACGACATGAATAGGACTTTTAGTTAGGCTAGCAGGTCACGACACCACTGTCTTTTAAGTCTTTTAATTGAGTTACCTGGGATAGAAGCAGATGATAGATTGGAGATTAAGGAATTCTTATGGTGGGCTAGGCGGCTATTGAAATGTTTATAGTGAGTTTTGGCTAGTTCGGAGACAAATGGTATTTTGAGAACAGAGTGAAGGGTGTGGTTAAAGACATAGAATGGCCCTTTTAGCATTGTACATAGAGTTTTGGATTGGAATCTTTGAATGCGGTTGATGTTATTTAGTTACTTTTAGCATTTGATTACTTACCAAAAGGGTAAGCCATGTAATTTCTTATTCGTATTATAAATAAATTAAATATTACAAGATATAAATAATTTGATCCATTCTCGAATCACAATAAATATAAATCTCTTCCAAATACTTAAATATAAAGATAGTGATATTCACATTTTATACCATATGTGGCTATACATTTTTGATATTTTTTATTTGCAGTAAGAAAAATTTACAAGGAACATTGCATTAAATTTTCAAGGTTTTTACTCTTAACCAATAATTTTATTATACATAAATCAAAAAATAAATATATAAAAAAAGCCAAACATTAAAATATTTATTAATAGCACAAAACGAGACAAAATATTTCCTAGTTTAACATGTCAAGTAAATGCTAATAGGAAGGTTTGTTACTTTTATTGTTATTTATTTTTGAATTATAACATGAAAATTAGGAAAAAATGTCTACTGATTTTTGGAGTTGTAATTTTTATATTTCATGACTTGTAAAGTACTGAGAATTTTAATTTTGGGCCATTCCAAGTTCTAACTTCTTAAAATTTGCTACAGGAAATCACCCTTAAAGATTGATGCAGATTTTCTGCTTCTAAACTATTTGAGTCTTACATAAAAAACAACAAAGGAAATTATTGTAAAACATTAATACATTAATACATTTATTGCTTTGTTCAGAATCTAAAGTAAAATGCTATAGTAAATTTAACTAATCCCAGAATTTACTTTAAGTTTATAGCATTTTAATTCTATAGTCTATTATATTATCATAATAATTAATGATTAAATAAAATTAATTAAAATGGGATTTATAGTATATGATTATTGTATATGATATATGATTTTTTAGAAATTTGCTGCACCAAAAAGACCGTTTAAAAGGATGGATTATAAAATGGCCATTCAATTTTTGCGTGAAAACAACATAACCAAGGAAGATAATTCATTTTATGAATTTGGAGAGGTAATTTTGTGTATAATATTTACTTATTTACTATTTAGTAAATATTTATATAATTTCAATTTATAACTTAGATTTTAACTGTTTTAGGACATTCCGGAAATGGCTGAAAGAAAAATGACGGATTTGATAAATGAGCCAATTATGTTGTGCAGGTTTCCCGCTGAAATCAAATCATTCTATATGTCTCGATGTCCTGAAGATAATACTCTTACTGAATCTGTTAGTATATAAATTAAATGTTTTAAGTAAAGTGTTGATTTTTATGCACTAAAAATTGTCAAAATATATCATACAATATGGTGTCAAAATCTTGAAAAGCTGCAACAAGTATGCAAATAAAAAAAACTAATTATTTTAATAAGGTGAAAAATTCACAATTTAATAGTGTAGAAATCTATGATTTAAAAATAATTTAAAACAAATTAAATAACTTATAAATTTAATCATAGGTATCCACTTTATAAACAAAAAATAATTTTAAATTTAATATTCATTAATATTCATTGCATTATTGAATAGCTTCTTCAATCAAGCCAACCGTGACCTATTATGTATCCCTCTATTGTGCTTATTGTAAATATATTTTTTACAGACTGTACAAATTAAATAAATATGACAAATTTAATATTATTAAAATGAATAATCACTTAGTGCCTACAAAATGTCCTATTCAATTTTATACTTGACAAAATATTATTTTGTACATTTTTTATAAATGTTTGTTTCGATATGACTTAATACATTTTGAATTTTGTTAAAATATGCAAAAAAAAAATTTGACATTATCTTGTTTGAATTACAATTATATTTAATATCACTGACAAAAACCACAAAATTATGAAATTGCATAAAAATCCATCCACACTAGTCATAAGTATGATAATTAACCAAATTAAGTAATATTGTTATAGGTGGATGTGTTATTACCTGGTGTTGGTGAAATTGTTGGTGGTTCAATGCGTATTTGGGACGAAGAAGAGCTACTGGCTGGTTATAAAAAGGTCGGAATCGACCCAAAACCGTATTATTGGTATACTGATCAGGTTTGTTAAAGTTATATTAATTGTATTTAATATGTTCATAATCTAGAAAAACACATGAATATTTTTCCGATTTTACCATAACTTGAAAATAGTAAAACTAAAACATTATTTTTAATTTAGAGAAAATTTGGATCATGCCCTCACGGTGGATATGGCTTAGGATTGGAAAGATTCATGTGTTGGTTATTGAATAGATACCACATCCGTGAAGTTTGTCTGTATCCAAGATTTTTAGACAGATGTACTCCATAAAAGTAATGAAGTAATGAAGTTTCAACATCATAATTAATTTTATGTTACTTTCACTATTAATTAATTAAACAAAATAATAAATTGCATTTATGGGTTTTCTAGTTTACTGAGTGTTTATTTAGCCTTTGAATTTAAGTGTACTGTATTAATTATTTTTTGATGATGTTCAATAATTTTAATTTCTTTGGTTTGGTTAGGATAGACTATTGATTATGTATTTTATTTATTTATCATATGTTTTGCATATAATACTAACAGCATAGAATATTAGTACCTAAATAAAATAATAAAAACATAAGTCATATGATTGTAAAAACTAAACGACCATCGCATCACTCAGAATCTAAAAAAGGTTTTAAAAAGAAACGGTGTACTCAATGAAACTACTGTTAGATGTGTCTTGTTATTTCACTTCAGGTCTTTATAGTATTGTACCTATTATATATTTTAATTTTAATGTTATGATTTAGGTATTATTCTACATAACTAAAAAAAATATTCTAAAGAACTCTATTTACACAAATAATTTTTTGATTTTGTTGACACCAAACTACCCTAGTAATTTTTTATTGCATTATAGATTCAGAGCTAATGAGGTATGCATGTAGGTTTGATTTTACAATGAATTGTGTTTTTTTTTTTTGAAAACTTTAATTAAATAGGTATAATGACGTATATCCGTATTTTGATTTTGTACCTATATACGTACCCACATCGTATTATAACTGTACATATTATACGCCTTTTTATATTTGTTGTGTTTGTCATCATTTTTCGGGACGGTTAAAATAGGTAGGACCTTGGTTTTTTACTTCAGCGTCTTTTCCGGTGGGAAAATGAATCTAGTTGGTACTTTTTTTGGTGTGTGGAAGGGGGGGGGGGTCAAAAGTAAATATAAACAAGTCGAAGTCATCCATTTCTGAATGCACAATAACAATGTTTTTAAAAAAAGGTGGTCAAGTAGGTGTCGCTTTGCTGTACAGTAGGTTACAAGTGGGTCACTGTAATGGATGGTGTTAAATTTTAATTCAATGATATTATAATAATATCATAGTATGTATAAGAAAAACGATTCTGAGCAAAGCTGGTCAGTCAGCCTATGATACTGCTAAGTATATTTGATGATATTATGGTGAATAAAGTAATTTATATAGCATATTTACGTAGAACATTATTTTAAATGTTCAATCCTTAGATATACAAGTTGAACATTTTATACATTTTTAACTAAACAATAATTATCATTGAATTCAAACTTGACAGTTAACATACCACTTACAGTACACTTATTCTATAATGATGTACACTCTACACTCAGCGGCGCATTTAGACTTTAAGCAACATTTTACTAACGCTCTCCCCCACCCCCAAGAAATATACATTTAATATTATGTGTAACTTCCAAGTTAGGTAACCTCTTAAGGTAAGATATTGTGTAAATCATTTTTTCTTATAAACACAAACATGTATTATACGCTACGCTTGGAGGAGTATTGGAAGTGGTTTTTAAATAACTGCCAAAATGAATACATTCATCGGAAAATTAGTGCCCAAATCTGTGCTGTTTTCGTTTTTTAAAAGCTCAGCAGATATCCTTATGTCTGCTGCTGTCATTTAAGTTAGTTTTAAAAGGCTCATAGGTAATGGTACACTTTAAACATTTTCCCGCCCCTAAAATTTGGCGCCCGGGGCATTTGCCCCAGTTGCCCCCCCTCCCTAAATGCGCCACTGTCTACACTTACTATAGATAATTTAGTGACATACCTACCTGGCTTGTATATAGAATTTGTATATAATTTGTTGTACTCAAAGTATTTATTTATTTATTTATTCGTCTACCTATAGCTATAAATTTAATTTACTAGGTATGACTGTATGAGTCACTGGCTCAAGTGCATAGTTTTGTATTAGTACCATAATAGTACTTTTTAAACAAAAACTGGTTTGAAACTTCGGTACAAAATTAATCAATACAAATTAAAAAATAGACCATATTATTTTAATGTTGAGATAAAATATATGGCTTTTCTTTAACTATATTATACTTACATACCCACCACCTACGTTCAGGTAAGTTGATACTTTTTATAATAAATTGAATTAAAATGTTATAAAGTCATCTTAAAAAGTAATCATGTTTAAGTCATTTAAAATAATAAAATATAAAATGTATTAGAATAATATTATGATGTACACCTACACTTAAATAATTTACTTATATTTGAATTACCATGGTAATAATATATATACCTATTTTGTTTAGTTAGTGTTACATAACATATTAATTTTATTTCTACTAATAGCATATTTTATTATTTGGATTTTACATAATCAGCAGTAATAGATGATTATTATAATTTTAATTATACTTTTTATATTATCGCTTATTTTGAAAATGACGAATATCATAAACGAAGGATTGATTATAATTACACAAAAAATGTGTTTAATAGCCCTAACTGTTTGTGCATACATTCTATTGTCGTCACAAATACAAACTTATCCACTGATCGAAAATGGCTCGAAGATCTATCCATTTGATAGTGAATTTTACCAATCGTCGGTACTTTTCTTGACTGCAGCTGCTCTGTATATAGCCGAATGTGATATATGGTCAAAGTATTTAAAACCAAAAAATAGACTAATTCAATTTCTTGCAGAGGTACACAAATTATTAATCTTGAATTATGGTTTAATTCTTTCAAATATGTTTATTAAATTCTAATAGTACCTACCTACCTACCTACTTTTTTTTTTACATAATATAAAATGTAATAAAAATGTAAAATACAGCATGTCTTAAAATTAAGATATTATTCTATATAATGTTATGTAGGTACGTAATTAAATCGTAGTTAATGTAACACGCTTAACTTTGGTTTTTAATTTATATTTTTATAGCTGTTTATTATGACAAATGTTATAATAATTGTCTATGCTCTTTTTTGGCATCCAATAGTCATAACTACATCTATACTCACTGATAAATTGAGTGTTCTAGTGAGTACCTATTCTACAATAATTGATAAATTATACACAATTCACGATAATCTTAAACTTTTATAGACACATAAATGGTTGGGATGTACGAATATATACAAAAGAAGCATTCCAATTTGCATGAAAACCATTCACAGTACGAAGTTCCATTGCAATATATTAGGCGCGTCAATACTATATTATGTACTCGAAAAGTTTGGAAAGAAAGACTTGTAATTATTTCCTCAATATTATTTTGAAAAATAAACAATGAATAATAAAGGTAACATTATTTCAGACGACGTATAAGGTGTTCGTTTTCAAGTAATTATTAACTCGAATCTGTATGTCAATAGCTTTACCTACATGTGAACAATATCGAAAGTATAATCCTTGCAGAACAAAACAACAATATATTGTACCTATGTATAATTTGTATTTGTATTTGAAATTGAATAAATATTAATTTTTTTATAGTTTTGTATTATAGGCAGCTAAATACAATATATAGGTAATCGTAGTATTGATAATGAAATTAATGTCATATATTGCATACATTTTCTTGAAACTCCAACTTGCTTTAGAAAATAGAACTTATAAAAATTTAGTATTCGTACATATAGTCCATGTAGGTATACACAAAATATATTAAACAAATAAAATAAAATACGATTTTAAATATTTTACTATCGTAAAATGTGATTTTCTAGTTTTGATCATTATTATATAGGTAAACATATTGAATGTACAATCATTAAATATTTATAATTTAAAAATCATTTTAAAAATGATTAAAATTTTTAAAAACAGTATCTTTGATAATATATGAGACCGTAATATAATCAATTACTTAAGCGAGAGACAAAAATGTAGAAGGTTATAAATTATACTTAATCGGAACGGAATGTCATCGAAACATATTAAACCTATACGCTAAATAAAAATTCATTTCTAAAAAGAGAAAAAAGGCCAATCGAATTCAAAATAATATAGATAATTTTCAAAAATAAAACTAGAATTTTACAAAAATTATTCGAATAGCTATTTTTGATTACATCTAACAATTGGGTACCTACTCCCAAGACAATATTATATGAACCGTACACGAGCACATGCATCAACTGTCATCCAAATCCTTTCCACACATTTTTACTAGATATTTCAAAACAAACGTAAGCTGACGAATGGAAATAAGATTACTGGAAGTTAAAATTTAACTTTATTATACACAAGAAACCATATTAGATATTCTAAGTGTTACCTATCCATTACTAGGTACTCAGTGCCGTAACTAGTCTACTTAAGGCCTGTGTGCAAAACCAAAATATTGAGGCCTATTTTATCTTTTTCAATACCTACACACCTCAAAAACTTTTTTGCAATTTTTAAAGTCAGCAGACAAAAATTCGGACTTAAACAAAAAAAAAAATTTTAATTTTAAATAATCTATAATTTTAAAACAATTTCTCAAGGCTATAACTAACTCAAGAAAGTAAAAATTTTCCAAAATGTAATTTATTGAAAATATTAATATAAATATTTGGTGAAAACTTCAATGGTCTACGGTTATTAGTTTTCGAGTTATACCCAAAAAATAAAATTTTTGGTTTTAGGTAAAAATGACAATTTTTTTTTTTATTTCCGCTTTTTAATATCTCAAACTAAAAATTTCGGTTTTGATCTCCAAAAAGTACCAACTAGATTCGCTTTTCTAACAGAAATTCGGAATATTTTTACTACCCAATGTTGATGACCGACAGAAATGAAAAAAATTATACACATCTTGTAAAATCAATACATTTGTTCGTTCCTCTCAAAAACTAAAAACAGTGATCACGGCTCCATGCTATATAAAAAAAAATGAAATAACATTGTTTTCGTTTCCAAATCAATAATAAATAATTTATATATTTTAATAATTTTATATTAGTTTAATATTAGTCTTTAGATTTTTTTGAGGCCCTTCGATATCTTATGAGGCGCGAGGCCTGTGTGCGGTGCACACTTTGCACACCCGGTTTTTACGGCACTGTAGGTACCTACTTAATATTAACATTTTAAGTTAACAAATATATTTTAAATATTATAAATTGAGGTGTACTAATTGCACACTGGCGGTAGCGATATAATTTGTAATGTAAGTGCCCACATCGCTGCGGAAAATTGATGCATGCTACAGGTTTACCACCACAGCGGATCGATATAGGTCTAAGGTAGGTTAGGTTAGGTTAGGTACCTATACTACAATAGTATACATAAATATTATTGTAATTCCCTATATATTATTATCTTTGTATAGATAATTTTGTGTGTTGTGACTGAACTCCTCCTAAACGGCTGAACCGATTTGAATGATTTTTTTTGTATGCGTTTGGGTGACGCCCCGGATGGTTTAAATTCACAAATCATCCCTCTAGGTCCAACCAGGGAATGTGCTCAAACGGGGATTTTGAGATTTACGGTGGAAATTGTTGTTTAAATGTTTGCCGGGACAGGTACCTAGGTAGTATAATATATATTATTATTTCTGCTAAAACAAATTTGAATGTTTGATAAGTTCTAAATAAGTTTATAGTAGAGGTGTCTTTGTAGTTAATAGTGTTTAATTAATTATCAAAAAATCAATGAAATTTCCGCTTATTCGTATGTTGTAAACATATTTTATTTTTAAGTTATGTTTGTAGGTACCTAGGTAATACCTAGTAGGTACCTTATCAAATATTTCCAGAAATTCTACACAATATCTATAGGTAGTGACTTTTAATTTGGGATTTTTGATATAAATTACAATATTATAATATATGGACAGTTACAAGAAGCTGTACTTCTGAAATAATTTATTTTTAAAAGTATTTAATCTTTTAAATATTAGAATATGTCCCTATATAATTTGTTTGCATACGCCATTCGGTATTGCACTGTCATTGCGTGTTCATGTCCGACCTCGATTTTGTCATGACGTATCTTTCCAAAAGAGAAAATATTAAGGCGGCTCTTAGTGGCTATTATTTAAGGGGAACAATTTAGGCAATTTCTAATCTTGTCGTCGCCGCCCGTAATCTATGTGTTAGTCGTAAATGATTATTAGTGTGAAATTCGAAGAAATTCGAACTCGATAACAATAGATTTTATATCGCCCGGCTGCGGGCACACGGTTCAATAGCACACGTACGCGCATGCACAAGTCAACGTATACACTCTCGAAAAATATTTTTGTACACTCACAACAGTGAAAAATGCTAATAAGCTGGCGAAAAATACACATACTTCTAGTAGTCCAATTTCAATTTTGAAAAATTATTTGAATTCGTCAGCCTCTTTTCTATGATTTGTATGAAACCGATTTTGGATATTTTAGATAATTTACGTATATTATGGTTCCAAATGACTGCTTGATTTCTCAAATTTAACTTGCACTTTTAAGTGCTAACTAGACAAAAAGATGAAAAAGTTTTTCCTACAGATCATAGAAAAGAGGCTAACGAATCCAAATAAGTATTCAAAATTGAAATTGGACTACTAGAAGTATGTGTATTTTTCGCCAGCTTATTGGTCTAAATGCATGAAAAATCCAATCGTTTAGAGCCGCCTTAAGAAATTAATTCTCGTGGTGCAAAAGTACCTATCCAATTATGTATGATATGACGTTGACGGAATTCAGAGATGCAAGGAAGAAGGATTATACCTGGGATAATTTAATAAGTCCAGAAATGAACGGAGAGAAAGGTAGGTAGGTATCTATTATTATTATCATCATTAAAAAGGTACATTTTTTAAATGTATATTAGTATAATAATAATTAACCTATTATATTAAATACTATAATCAGGGCCGTATTTGGACAATTTCCGCCCCGGGGCAACATATTTCCGCTGCCCCTCAACCCCCCCCCACCAAAAAAAAAGATACTACTTCTTAAAAAGTAAGGTGTAACTATTTTGTTGTATACAATTTTGGTACAAAGAAAATTGAACCAACTACATAAACATAATAATATATTAATATGCTACTGTCACTTATATAATATTAGCGAATTAAATGTATATACAATATACACTATAATATTAAATACATATTATGTGCGTAATTTATTATTGTAAAATGTATTATGAATAATATTATATTATGAACATTAAACAAAATTCCTTTTATTATAGTTATTTATTTATATAGGAAAACCAATGTCAATTAAAGAAAATAGTTTTAAGTAAATAATGTATCATTTATTATTAAGTATTGTATTTGGTATTAATAATTATAATCTAAATAGGTATATAAATAACAATATATAAAAATATATAAAAAAAATGTATAACTTTCTCCTGGACTGAAGGTTTGAGAATAAAATTAAGGTGGGTAAGTGGATGTCGCTCTGCTGTACCGTAGGTCACAAGTGGGGCACTGTATAATGGATGGTATTAAATTTGAATGCAATGATATAATATCATTGTATAAGAAAAACGATTCTGAGCTAAGACGGTATGTCAGTCTAGGTTTAAGTCGTTTAAGACAAATTATATACATATATCTATATGGTATTAAAAAAAAATTGACCTATAATAAATTCCAAATTAATCATATCACATTATCACAATATCCATTAGGTACTTATAACATGTTATACATCTACATCAATAACAAACCCTGATACTATCATAGATATATAATAGTACACTTTAGAAGTTACAAGTAGGTACTCACGAATAATATTATATGATCACAACAAAATAACTAGGTTTTTTAATATGTAATTTCGTCGAAATTTGAACGTAAAATGACTATAAAAATAAACTGTGATTGTATATTTTTTAGATTTTTCGGTAAGAGAATTAACTACTTACGTGGAATCTTGTTTTAAATTTTCAATCCTTGGCTATAAAAACTGAACATTTAATAATTTATTAATTACGATGATTAATAATTTTCGAGATTTTGAAAAATTCTGTCAAAATTCGATGTTTAAATGCTTATAAAAAAAAATTGTGCATATGTATTTTTAATATTTTTCAACTGATATTGTAACAATATATCAGGAGCCTTGTATTAAATTTTTACACTTTTTGGCCCAACAGATAAAACTTAATTGATAATCATAGAAAAAAAGACTAAAAAAATTGAAAAATGAAAATATCCGTAAACAGCTCAAAAAGAGTCAAAATATTTTAAAAATTGTATGGTGTATAGGAAATGCTAATATAAAAATTCAGTGAAATTTTCATGTATCTATAGTTATTCGTTTATGAATAACAACAAAATAAGGAAATCGCTACATGAGAAATCGAGTGAACATCCAATGTTGTAAAAATTTGAATTTCAAACGCTCATAAAAATTTAATTTTACTGTCCGGTAGAGATTTTTTATTGATAAAAGTAGACAAACTTATGAGTAATCTTGTATTACATTTTCAAATCTTAGATTTAAAAAGAAAAATTTTTGCGAATTCTTAACTCAAAATAATTTGCTAATTTTCGTGATTTTCGTGACTTTTGCATTCAACATTTCTTAACGATGAGTCGACGCCGTAAAAAAACAGTATACTGCTTGTAACAGTTCAAAAAAATGACAGGCTTCTTCACAACAATTTGCTGCACAACTACCAACCAAATTTAGAGAGTGTGCAGCACACGGAGAATACTCAGCTAGTGGATTAACCTCCTTGATTCTTGCCGTTCTTACGTTCAAAAACCCAATCTATTTATAAATAGTAGGTATGTTAATAATATAATTTATATTATTTTCCGACAAACTGATGTTAACAATATTATACCTTTTCGAGCTATAATAATGTTTTTAATAGAAGGTTAAAATAATAATTAAAATTATGTAAATGTATTTATTTTTTCTCAACAGTTAATATACAATAATAATTTATCAACATAAATTTGCCGCTAAATGGACTAAACAATTTGCCGCCCCGGGCAACAAGGTACACTTGCCCCCCCTCAAATACGGCCCTGACTATAATTGTGTATATTATCAAAGTAATTGTTGAGCTCACTGAATAAAAGCTAATAATAACAAAATAATAAAATATTTATATCTATAATCATAATAATAATGAGAATACAGAAAAATCAATTAAATTAATTTATATAAAAAGAACACTATTATAGGTAGTGTAGGATAATAATAATATATAAGTTCAATGCACAAATGTGTTAGTAAAGTTATGAATCAAACATTTACAAAATGTTCAAGAATTTGTATAGATTTATTTGTTCCTCTTCGATTATTAATTTCAAATTCATTTAAGGCACCTTGAGTTATTTCATCTTCGTTTTCCGAGTGAACTGCAGTGGTATCAATATCAAAATTTTTTATTCGTAAGTAATTATGCAATATACATGTTGTTAATATTATTAGTGTTGTAGTTTGTTCTTTTAGTTCAATCGTACTTTTATAAATTTTCCATTTTTTTGTCAAGATACCAAATGCGTTCTCAACTACGCGCTTTGCTCTGCACAGTCTATAATTATATGTATCAAGTCTAATGTAATTTCTTGATAATCGGCGTGGAAATGGTTTCAATAAATAAGTTTTTAAAGCGAAAGCTTCATGTCTGATGAGCACCATTGGCGTATTTTCCACTTGACCAGGTAATGGTGTACTTTTTGGAACGTTTAAAGTATCGGCTTCAAGCCGTTTCCCCATAGCAGACTCTTCTAAAGTTCTAAGATACCTCTATCAGAATTTCGTCCGTAACCTCCAACATCAATACAAATAAATTTATATTCCGGATCTACAATCGGCATCAAAAGTAGGTACTGAACATTTTTTAAGGTAACAAAAATTTCTAGATCCACTATTATCCGGACACTTTATGGTATAACGTTTGTCCCATCAATACTACCGATACAATTTGGGAAGTGCCATTTCGATAATCTTTAGATAATCTTATAAGGAATCTTGTATTACATTTTAAAATCTTAGATTTAAAAAGAAAAATTTTTATGAATTCTTAACTCAAATTAATTTGTTAATTTTCGTGATTTTTCCATATTTTGTCAATTTTTGAACTTTAAATGCTTACAAAAAAAAATGTGACTAAGGATTTTTAATAATTTTCATCTGCCTTTGAAGCAATATAATAGAAGCCTTCTATTAAATTTTCAAGCTTTTTTAACCAAAAAATAAAATTTTATTGATATTTTTAGAAAAAAAACTAAAAAAAATGGAAAATAAAAATGTCCCTAAACAGTTCAAAACAAATCATAATATTTTGAAAATTTCATCGTGTATAGAAAATGCAAATATAAACAACAAGTGAAAATTTCATGTATATACATTCATTTGTTTCAGAGTTACACCAAAAACCAAAATCGATTTTGCGTAAAAATTCCTGTTTTTCCTTAATTTTTATGTTGTTTTTCCCAGCGCTTGTGAAAAGTATTGGGAATTTTAAAATTTGACCTCCCGAATGCACTAACTACCGTTGAAGAAAATCGAAGCAGTTTTACTGCCACAAATCGTGATGACAGACACAAAAAAAAAAAAAAAACACACATCATTGTAAAATCAATACATTCATCGTTCCACTCTGCAGAATCTAAAAATTTGTGACTGAATTTTTAATATTTTTCTAATTTCATTGGAACAATATTATTAATATTAGGAGCCTTGTATTAAATTTTCAAAATTTTTTATACAACAAATAACATGTTATGTAAATAGAAATAAAAACTAAAAAAAATTGAAACTGAAAATGTCCGTTAACACGTCGAAACAAATCAAAATTTTTTTTTAATTTTATCGTTCATAAAAATTGCTAATATAAACAACCAGTGATAATTTCATAAATCAACGATTATTTGTTTTAAAGTTTCACCAAAACCCAAAATCGATTTTGTCGAACTCTGATTTTGCGTAAAAATCCCTGGTAATCCTTAATTTTTTTACTAAAATTAATAAATAACACATTTCGACATCTAGTACCTACAATCTTACAATCTACTTTCCATAAATATAGTTACTATAAATTTTACTTTATTCTATTAAAATATTAAAAAATATTATTCTGTATTTTACACATACAAACAATTACATAGACAACCCACCCCACCCACCTCTAATTAAAGGTGTAGCGGGCGCTACACGTCTACTCTAGGGTAGCCGCCACTGTATTACGATGATTATCGTACTGAAAATGACCAGAGAATTCCTTCACATTCTCAAAACCTTGACCCATATTTATATCCTTAAGTAATTTTGGAGACAAATAGACTGACAGTAGTTTTGAAAATAGTCATACAAACTTATAATTTTTTTTTTATTATTAATAACTAATAAGTATGGGTTAACATTAACTTTACCTACCTAATTAATATATTAATTTTTTTTTTTAATAATATAAAATTAGAAAACAACACCTATTATACTTTTTATCTCAAGGTATTTAATTTTAATTTTAATTGTTGTATATACATAGGTATTTATATTTAGGTATATATTTGTTTATCAAAAAACTTAAGTTGTTAGAAATTAAATATAAAATATAGGTGGAATCTATATCAATGTTGAAAATGGTTAAAAATAAAAATGAATGTTCTAGTAATTTTTATTTATACCTATATCATATTATTATGAAATTTAATAAACTATGTATTTTGAAAAAAAATTATGTTTAAACACAAGTCACCCTCTCGCAATACATAGGTACCTATATTTTAATTTAAGTAAATATATTTATTTATATTTTAGATTCTAAGTGGAACGATGAATGTATTGATTTTAGAATGATTTTAAGCATTTAAAGTTCAAATATTGACAAAATACGTAAAAATGACGAAAATTTGGAAATTATATTGAGTTTGAAATTTATAAAAAATTTTCTTTTTGTATTTAAGTTTTTAAAATGTAATATAATATTCCTTTTACATTATCTACCTTGATCAAAAAAAAAATGTCTATAAGAAAGTCAAATTAAATTTTTATGAACGTTTGAAATTCAAATTTTTACAACATTGGATATTCACTCGATTTCTCATGTAGCGATTTCCTTATTTTGTTGTCATTTAAAAACGAAGAACTGTAGATACATGAACATTTCACTGAATATTTATATTAGCATTTCCTATACAGCATACAATTTTGAAAATATTTTGACTCTTTTTGAGCTGTTTACGGTCATTTTCAGTTTTACATTTTTTAAGTTATTTTTTCTATAAATATCAATTAAGTTTTATCTGTTGGGCCAAAAAGTGTAAAAATTTAATACAAAGCTACTGATATATTGCCACAATAGCAGTTGAAAAATATTAAAAATACATAGGCACAATTTTTTTTTTTTATAAGCATTTCAAGTTCGAATTTTGACAAAATTTATCAAATTTAAAATTGAATAATTATTTTGTAGTTAAAACTTTATAAAATGTTCAACTTTTATATCTAAGGATTGGAAATTTAAAACAAGATTCCACGTAAGTAGTTTATTCTGTTACCAAAAAATCTAAAATATACAGATGGACAGTTTATTTTTATAGTTATTTTAAGTTCAAATTTGGACGAAATTACATTATAAAAAACCTAGAATAACTATTTTAGTTATTTTGTTGTAATTGTATAATATTATTCGTGGTTACTTGAAACTTCTAAAGTACACTATTATATTTCTATGATAGTATCAGGGTTTGTTGTTGATGTATAACGCGTTATAAGTACCTAATGGATATTGTGATATGATTAATTTGGAATTTATTATAGGTACATTTTTTTAATACCATAGATATGTATATAATATGTCTTATACAGGGCCGGATTTAGAACAAGTGCCGCGCTAGGCCCTTTGAAATATGCCGCCCCTACCCCAAGAAAAAAAATGTTGTAATTATTTCTAATAAATTTATTTCATTTTAAAGAAATTAGGTCAATAGTCATTATAAACAAAACAAATAATAATTATAAATCCTAATTAGGCATTATCAATATACATTTTTAATCTTAATCTTAAAATAATCTTAATAATTTTTAATCTTATACCTAGTAGGTAATACTTAATAGTTAAACTTATACCTAATCATAACCTATGTTATCTATAACATTTTACGACGAACTTTTTTAGACACGAAATCGTCGATTATATCATCATAATTTATACTTCGAAGCATCTCAGATTCTATGTGTAGTATTGATGTCGCGTTTAATCTATCTGACACCAAAGTTGATCGAAGATGCGATTTTACTCTTTTCAATGCTGAAAACGACCGCTCTGCTGTACAATTTGTTGCAAACGTGCACAAATACATACGTAACGATGTTGTGACGTTCGGGTAAATATCTATTAAATCATTTGTATACAACATCTTACAAAGTTCTTGGGTGTTTCTTTTTTTGTCAGATTTAAAAAAAAGATGATCACGCAAATGAAGACATTCATTTGTAAATGATTCTTCAATATCATTACGATATTGTTCTATTAGTGCCCTAGTTTTTTCAGAAATTATTTCCTCGTCAAAACTACAAATATTCGTAAGAAAATCAAACTTGACACATAAATCTTTATATGAACTGCCACGCCTTACGAGTTCAGCATTCAATTTATTCAATATAACGAAGAATACATTTATTCCTTGCCACACAGATATCTAAAAAAAATCATATAAATATTTCATGCATTTTATGATTTTTTTTTTATTTCTTACAAAATTTGCCGCCCCAAAAAATTTGTCGCCCTAAGCCCGGGCTTCACGGGCCTAGGCGTAAATACGGCCCTGGTCTTATACCTAGACTGACATACCGTCTCCGCTCAGAATCGTTTTTCTTATACAATGATATTATATCATTGAATTCAAATTTAATACCATCCATTATCACCGTTGGTGAAATTGGAATGCGAAAATGTGTCGTAATTTTAAGGATTTCATTTTCAATCAAATTGAAAACTTCGTCATAACATTCAGGAGTCATTCTGAAGTACGTATAAAATCTTGTTGGATCCATTCGTAGTTGTGGTATACTATGAGAATATTGTACTCGCCAAATAATTCACGTTCTTTATTAATATTGTGGACCCAACATTTCCTTTTTTTTCCTAAACAATTATAATATAATTCATCTATTTATTTTAAATATTAATATTTATTAAGTATCTAGTTAAATTACCCATCATTTTCTTCGTCTGAGAGCATTGTTGCTAAAATCAAAACGTCATCATCATTGTCTGATTCCGATAGATAAATATTCATTATCAAAAAAAATAGAATTATACTACTATCAGTTAGGAATGTTAGGATAAAAAACAACACTGTACTATAACCACATAAACTATCTTATTAACGTATCAAAATTGACATTCGTATCGTAGAATGTATGTAATATGAATAAGTAGGTATATTATGTCACTATGTCACTTCACTATAATAGAAGTCACTATAGTGTATAGTACTAATATCTCGTTTTCATATTCGTGTGTCGTAGGTACCTAACCTATACGTATAACGTACACTTTATTTATAGATGGAGGATTATATTATATCAGTCACATTCTTGATAGTTATAAATTTGATATTTCATCGAAAGTATATTTAATATAATTAAATTAATGATAATTCTAAATTTGATGTTTTATCGAAAGTATATTTAATATAATTAAATTAATTACTACACTAATGGACATAATATCAATAATATAAATTATTATTATTTAATGTAGGTAAAAATGTATAATTATATTTATTATTGTTATAAAATATGTTATTAGTTTTAGTAATTAATTTTTGAAACTTGGATCTTAAGCATATTTGATTTGCATGAAAATATATTAAAATATAGCAGGAAAAAAATGTCTCATATTATTTCTTATATCTCTCTTCTCGTATCATCTTTCTTAAAATAATATTAATAATAATAATTAATAAATAAAAGTGTCACGGCCGTGCTAATTTCCATTGGTACACTGTACGCGAGGACAATAATATCTGGCACCATTATTGAACATACATATTTAACATTTTCCGCCCTTTAAAATGTTACACATTTTGCCGCCCTATGGTATTTGTCCCATTTGCCACCCACTTGTTATGAATTGCTGATGAATACAAAATAATTAATAAATATTCTATTTGAAATTTCACTCCCGCTACCGCTCCAGTGTGTGTTAAAACAAAAATAACTTTGTATCGTCATAGAATTTGAAAAAATATTTCTACGAATTAACTAAAATTATTTAAACATTATTTAAAAATCGGCGTATACTATGCACGATGCACCACCCTGACAAAATTCCTGCCGGAGCCTATGGTACTTACCTACGATAAACTTTTCATCACGAAAGATGATAAAAAATACCGAATAATCGGAATTTCATGCGAAAAATCAAACACATTTTTCGAATTCGAACTATTTTTGTATACGGCGTACAAAATAGACACTCTGTAGCCTGCTGTACAATATTATAAGTTATAACATAGGCACAATTTCCACAAATCGCATAAATTCATTTTTTACCAGCTTAGTGGCGCGTTTATTAAAAATAATAAAGTAATGCGTATAATATTAAATAAAAACCGATTCGATAACATAATAATATTAAGAGGACGTCACACCCGAATGTGTAAACACACGTACGATATAAATTATAAACAAAACGCGTTTAAGCAGTCTGAGTAGAACTCGCTCAATTTTGGTTCTATATAGAGTAAAAATACCTATTAAAAACTGAATTGTAACAATATTTCTGAGGGAAAGTCGTTACGTTTTATCAATGATTATAAAAACCTACTATGGATCGCTCACTGGCCTGCAGGCTGTATTTACGCGACGCGAAATATTGACGAAAAATGGACGTGGCCGTTACGAAGCGCTGTCGTCGCCCATTAGTTTCTTATAATAGTATTTATAATCAATGGTTTTATTTTCAAAATTTAAAGGTAATTTAAAAATGTTGAAATTTTTTCTGTTTATAAACGATATAATAAACTTATTGTAGTAAAAATATGATTTTTCAGTTAAAAAATTATAAAATGACAAAATAATTTTCAAATTTTTGAGATTTTAATGAATTTCGTCAACATTTGAACTTTAAACGGTAATTTAACAAAAGCTTGTGCCTGTAGTAGATATGTATCTATATTCTATTTATTGTTTTCAACTAAAAAATCTGAAATTATTCTTATTATAGAGTTCATTTTTGATTTTTCAACATTTTATATTCATTTATCTCACGGTTTTTAATAATTTTTTTAGTTTATAGGTAAAAAGGCAAGAAACCGATTTTTGTCAGGACCTCGAAACCCCCTCTACGGTTAATGGGTAAATTCTCACGGGACACCCTGTATAGTGTATGTATACATAAGATATATATCTCCGAAGTTCATATTATTATTGTGTCTAATTCTAATACAGGTATCTAATAAAAATATTTTGTGTACTGAATACCTATTGACGCAGATTGTGTATAATAAACAATATAATATTTAAGTATTTTACATCGAAACAATAAACAATAAACAATATAACATTTAAGACATATTTTACATAGAAACAAAATTAAGAACAGCGAACATAGTTTGCTGGATAAATATTTGCAAACTTGTTATATCCGAGCTGTTATATGTATAGTAATCAGAGACCAAAAACTAACTCATTTTACTTGCAAACAAATACCTGCGGTTGTAAAGCAAAATATATTCGCTGTTTTAAATAATTATAATATAATTGTGTGATAATTTAGAACGATGAATATAGTTGGCTACTTGGCTGTATACAACCGAAGCCATTTGTTTGCAAATAAAACCAGTTAGGATTTTTCTTCCTCATATTTTTATATAATATAAAAATAAAGACTCGTATATTATATACACTGACACGAACATTTTCAACAAAATAATCGGTAAGAAACTATGTAACAGGTGTGCAACCGGGTGAAATGTCTTAAAGAACCGTATCGTCCACCGATGGCGACGGCGTACCTACCGCGGTAAGAGGTAAGCGAACTCACTATTCGTACGCTGAAATAAGTCTCGTATTGTCCACGGCCGCTGACGGCGTATTGTTCGGCGTACTCTGCTGCTGTTGATTATGGTGGTTCGAGCAACGACCATGTTTAGCGTCAGTGACCGCGGTCTATTATCCCTGGTTTGGACCGGGGCTGGGTCGGCTGTGTGTCCGCGGTCCAGTGCACGTGCAGGTAATGGTCAGCTCTAGTGTAGAACACTGATGGGTCGGACTTTATCACCTCGGCGTGGCGGCCACAGTGGCAGTGACGACGGCAAAATTAACGCATAACAAAAGTTTGAAATTATCAGCCTTATATAATAATATCAGTCTTTACAGTTTCATGTCTACATCAGAGATGGCCACCGACGGACCGACTGAGAACCGGGCCTCTTGTCCTCGGCGCGGTGGCCACAGTGGCAGTGATAAGGATTGGAAGTTCCGGTTCTCAGTTGGTCCGTCGGTGGCCATCTCTGATATCACGACCTGGTGTAGACATGAAACGGTAAAGACTGATATTGCAGTGTATATTATGTAAGGCTGATAATTTCAAACTTTCGTTATGCGTTAATTTTGTCCTCGTCACTGCCACTGATCAAGTCCGACCCAGCCGTGTTCCACACCAGAGCTGACCATTATCACGTGCACTTGACCGAGGTCACAAAGCCCTACCCAGCCACGGTCTACACCAGGGATAGTTGACCAAGGTCACTGACGCTAAATATGGTCGCTGCCTGAACCACCATAATCAACCTCAACAGAGTACGCCGACAGCGGCCGTGGAAATACAGTTAAGGAAGATATTTCAGCGTACCGCGTCCAACCAGTGAGTTCGCTTACCATTTACCACAGTAGGTACGTTCCGAAGTTCGCGCGTCGTCATCATCGTTGGACGAGACAGTTCTTGAAGATATTTCGCCCGGTGAAACTACCACCTGTTACACAGTTTCGTACCGATTATTTTGTTGGAGATGTTCGTGTCGGTGTATATATTATATAATATAGAAGTCTTTATTTATATATATATAATATATACATGGAAATCTGAGAAAGAAAACTCCTAACTGGTTTTATTTGCAAAAACAAATGGCTTCGGTTGTATACAACAGCCAACTATGTTCGCTGTTCTCAATTATCACATAATTACATTATAATTATTTAGGACAGCGAATATATTTTGCTTTGCAACCGCAGTTATTCGCTTGCAAGTAAAACGAGTTGGTTTTTGGCCTCCGATTACTATACATATAAAAGCTCGGATACAACAACACAAACATCATCAACGAAATAAGAGTTATGAAATTGTTCATGGAGTAGAAGTCGTCGTCGACGTAGTCTTTTTCAGATTCGTCGTAATTCCTGCAATTATAAGAAAAAATATAATTTATTAATTATTAATTGTAAATCAAAATAATAAATAAGTGATTTATCGTTCTGATTGTTTTATTTCGGTAATATCAGTGAGCCATGTCTATAATATTATTATGATGCTCTTTTTTTTCTTACAGTGTTATCAGCTAGTATTTTTATTTTTTATAGTCAGGTCTTGTGCTGAGCGGTGGGAATATTACCACAGAACAGATGAAATTAATTTCATCTATTGACTATATTCTGTGAAATATCACAGACTGCGCAGGGTAAACAGGTGATTAAACAATTTAGACCTAGGTGTATTAATAACATAACTTTTCTAAGGTTTGTGCTGCTGTAATTTTAATATATCTAATGTACCTAGGTACCTATAAGTATTACCACATATTGGTAACAAATACCAATTAACTAATAAGTATCAAGTAGATATTACCTATACTTACATAGGTATACTATTATCTTGAAAGAAGCATTTCGAAACCACTACATAAATAAGGAAAAAATATGGATGAAAGCAAAGATTGGACGGGGGTGCTCAACAATGTTTACAAAACAGTTTTTTTTTTTTTGAAGAAATAATATAATTTCAATTACATATTTACATATCTAGTTGTTTAGATTTTGTACAAATTATAATATAGCATTTATGGAGCTATAATACCGCTATTTAAGGACCTCCCTCTAAATTTCTTACTGAGCAGTCACTAACTACCTTGACACGACTAAATACAACATGATTATGGTCTGTTTTACGATAAGTATAATATATAAGTTAGCAAACTCACTGGTCGTTCTCTGGAATTTCTTCCTTTATAGTATAGTCCACAGCAGGTGACGGCGTACTGTTTGGTGCACTCTCCTGTGGTTGATAATGGTGGTGTGGGCAGCGACAACGTTTTACATCAGTGACCGCGGTCGCACGGTCGTGGTGACAATTAGCTCTGGTGTAAACCGTGTCCGGGTCCGGCTTTGTGACCGCGGTCGAGTGTACATGGTAATGGCCTCTGGTTAGGTCGTGGTCTACTGCCTGGTCTGACGTGGTCACCTTGGCGTGGTGGCCACAGTGACAGTTATGTAGCGACGAGGGCCGAAAGTTCCTGTTCTCAATCAGCTCATCGGTGACCATCATCTTAAAAGCGGCAATGGTGGCAGGAAGTGAAGATCGCTGCTTCCGGAGTGGAAAATTTTTGTTCTTGGCCGGTCCACCAGTGGTCATCTTTGTGGCAGCGGTAATTGTGGCAGGTGGCGATGATCGCTGAGACCAGAGCTGAAAGTTCTTTTTTTTGGACGGGCCGTTGGTGGTCATCATTGTGGAAGAATCAATTTCAATAGGCAGTGATGATCGATGCGGCCAGAGACGAAAGTTTTGGTTCTTGACCGGACCGTCGGCGGTCATCAGCGTGGAAGCGGAAACTGCGGCGGACGGTGACGATCGCTGCGGCCAGAAACCAAAGTTTTGGTTGTTGGCTGGTCGGTCAGTGGTCATCATTATTAAAGCGGAAATTGCGGTGACCGGCGATGATCGCTGCGGCCAGAGACGAAAGTCTTGTTTGTTGACTGGACCGTCGGTAGCCGTCGGTGTGGAAGCATCAACTTCAATAGGCAGTGACGATCGATGCGGCCAGAGACGAAAGTTTTGGTTCTTGACCGGACCGTCGGCGGTCATCAGGGTGTAAGCGGAAACTGTGGCGGGCGGTGACGATCGCTGCGGCCAGAGTTGAATGTTCTGGTTCTTAGCTGGTCCATCATTGGTCATCATTGTGGAAGCGGAAACAACGGCGGGAGGTGACGATCGCTGCGGCCAGAGACGAAAATTTTGGTTGTTGACCGGATCGTCGGTAGCCTTTAGTGTGGAAGCATCAATTTCAATAGGCAGTGATGATCGATGCGGCCAGAGACGAAAGTTTTGGTTTTTGACCGGACCGTCGGTGGTCATCAGCGTGTAAGCGGAAACTGCGGTGGGCGGCGACGATCGCTGCGGCCATAGTTGAATGTTCTTGGCCGGGCCGTCGGTGATCATAAGCGTGGAAGCATCAGCTTCAGCGGTCGGTGACGATCGCTGCGGCCAGAGACGAAAGTTTTGGTTGTTGGCTGGTCGGTCAGTGGTCATCATTGTTGAAGCGGAAATTTCGGCGACTGGCGATGCTCGCTGCGGCCAGAGACGAAAGTTTTGGTTCTTGACCGGATCGTCGGTAGCCGTTAGTGTGGAAGCATCAACTTCAATAGGCAGTGACGATCGATGCGGCCAGAGACGAAAGTTTTGGTTTTTGACCGGACCGTCGGTGGTCATCAGCGTGTAAGCGGAAACTGCGGTGGGCGGCGACGATCGCTGCGGCCATAGTTGAATGTTCTGGTTCTTAGCCGGTCCATCATTGGTCATCATTGTGGAAGCGGAAACAACGGTGGGAGGTGACGATCGCTGCGGCCATAGTTGAATGTTCTTGGCCGGGCCGTCGGTGATCATAAGCGTGGAAGCATCAGCTTCAGCGGGCGGTGACGATCGCTGCGGCCAGAGACGAAAGTTTTGGTTGTTGGCTTGTCGGTCAGTGGTCATCATTGTTGAAGCGGAAATTTCGGCGACTGGCGATGATCGCTGCGGCCAGAGACGAAAGTTTTGGTTCTTGACCGGATCGTCGGTAGCCGTTAGTGTGGAAGCATCAACTTCAATAGGCAGTGACGATCGATGCGGCCAGAGACGAAAGTTTTGGTTGTTGGCTGGTCGGTCAGTGGTCATCATTGTTGAAGCGGAAATTTCGGCGACTGGCGATGATCGCTGCGGCCAGAGACGAAAGTTTTGGTTCTTGACCGGACCGTTGGTGGTCATCAGCGTGGAAGCATCAACTTCAACGGGTGGTGATGACCGCTGTGGCCAGAGACGAAAGTTTTGGTTGTTGACCGGACCGTCGGCGGTCATCAGCGTGGAAGCATCAACTTCAGCGGGTGGCGATGATCGCTGTGGCGAGGGCCAAAAATACCGGTCGTCAGTTAGTCTGTTGGTGCCCATAATCACGGGAGCTGCAACGGCGGCCGGCGGTGACCTGTACAACGCCAAACACAGTATGACGATGCGTAGCATAATAAATGTTCCGTTTTTTTTATGTAAAATAAACATTCCAAACAGATAATTCATATTTTTAATATTCTTTCAAAAAGCAAAAAAAAAAAAACCAAAAAAGTTTTTAAATGGTTGTTGCCAGAATGTTTTTAAATATATTAAAAACATTATTTGGCCAGCAAAGTAATAAATAACAATACACCTATTAAATGTCAATCTTTACTTTCCACTTGGTAGGTATCTATATAATATTAATAATTATAATCTAAAATGTATTTTCATAAATGTTAATGTGTACCTGTCATGGGCTGGAAAGAAGTACCTAATAAAATACTTCGACTGATGGTTAGAACTGATAGAAAGAACCTAAAGTTAGAGGTCGGTGGCTTGTAAGTTTAAGTAGATGTAGATGGCTCGTTGGTATAATTTATGGTAATATTATTTAACTTACTAGATGATGATGCATATTATATAAGTATCGATGACCCATTTGTTTTCAATAATTTATAACCTTTAAACATTAGTCCATCTTTACAGAAATTTAGAGAATATAATCTTCTAAATAATTTTAGTAGTATCGTCACTTAAATGTAACAAACACTTTGGTGAATGTCAATAAACTTTAGAGGGGGCTTAGCTCCCTAAAGACTTCAATAAAAGATGAGGGTTTTTGTCTTATAGGTATGGTACGGGTGTCCACATTTTGTTGGCCCCATAGGTAAAAAAGTTCACCACGCCACTGCTTATGCCTTGGAGGACATCATATATAGGCTGACAGTCACCTCTCAGATAATAATATATCAGTAGTACCTATACAATATAATGTATGGCTCGTATAAACTATCATCGTTTCTTCTTTCGTCGGCAAATATGGGAGTATAATATATTATATTACTCGTTTTCCGGTCAACACCAACGCAGAGTATGTAATATATAAGGTAAGTACTGCAGTTACCTCACTATCGTATCGGCTTATCCTTCGTGTTTTCTCCTTCTTCTTTTTTTAGTGTGGAAACATAATATCATATCGTGCACGAATCGTGCAATGACCGAGCGACGCGAAACACTATCACCTCTGCTCCCCCCCACAGTTCGTCGTCGTACGTGGCTGCAGTATGTATAATATATTCATCTGCGAAGTCTGGAGTCTTCTTAAGGGGTGTGGTGGTGGGGGTGAGGAGGAATGTGGTATTCCATATATCTGTCATCAAACCGACCGCGGACTTGCAGACGTCCCGAAGCTCTTCTCACACACGCGGAGACCCTCGTGTGTTTGCTCGGGCGATTACGCAAGCTATAAAGAGAGCGGTTACCTATATATATATACACACACACACACCCACCCATATGATATTATGGACATATGGTGGTGGTGGCGTAGACGGTGTTGAGCGCGTAATATTTATATCGTATACTGCAGGCGAAAGTGGCAAGCGAAAGAAAAAAAAATGATATTTATATATGAAAAGAAAAAAATTGTTAGTATATTATATATATACATATTTTTATTCCGAATCAGTTGACAACCGCCAGCACACACATGCAAGTGTATACGCACGTGGGATTTATTCGAAATCACACCCTATTTGTTATAATACGTGGTGGTTTTGTTGACGGAGAGTGGTCGAGGGGGGCTGGAGGGAGGGGTAGAGAAGATTTTGTATTCTCAGTGTTATATCCTGGAGAAAAATACACATATATAGAGGTATCTATATACCGACGGGGTTTTGGAGCGGGTAATGGGAAAAATCGTGCGACTATACTAGACTTGCCCCTCATAATCCACACTACGACGACGACCTTTTTATCCGAGTTGAGTTATTCGAGCACCGTGTCATTCCACCCCAAAGCGAAGAGGGCGGCGTTATAATATTACCTACTGCTGCAGAGAAGTGAATATACGAACGATACAGACGACGCACGTGTGCATATGCCTATATAGGTACTCTATGATGTACGACATTTTTATATACTTACCCTCACCCGTATGACCTATCGACAGCGATGCCATGACCTCGCCAAATTTTCCGGGCTCTGCGATATCACTCTCGAAAAGAAAACGAACTGTGTAATACGATATGTGATGGTGTAGCTCAAGAATGGCAAATAGGATTTGGTCAACGTGTCAATATACGACACAATTCAAAAAATAATTTATTAATTTTGTCAACACGCAGGGGAATTTTCACAAAATATAAATGAGAAATTAATAATAATACTATAATAGTGTAGAAAAATATTATTAACAAAATCAACTTTTATTGATTGTTAGAAACATTTTGCTTCATATTGCTAGAAAGATTTTTTATGTCTGGTTAATACGCTTTTGCTCGCAAGGTATATAAATATATATAGACACATGGAAGTCTTTCGGGTGCCATCGAAAATTTCTCTCGTGCCAAGCATGGCACTAATATTTGCCATCCCTGGTGTAGCTATTACTTATTAGACTGCACGACAGGAGATATATGGAATGTGAAAACAATGCTATGCCGTAGGCCATATTATAGGGCACGCTGTACACACTTATTTACTTCGATTCGAGACCGTTTGTCCACCGGCGATAAAAATTGGTGCTTAAGTCGGATATTTTATTTTCATTCTCGCACGTCGTCCAATGTCTGCTTATCGCGATACAGGAACGAGCATTTACTATATTATATACTTATACGTATTAGCTATAATAACATTACCCACATTATCCATTACAATCATACAATAATATAAAATACGAGAGGGAACGAGACAGAAAATCGGAAAAAAACCCTATCGGTTTGTTGTAATTGCCCCCCGGTGGTGCTCTGCAGGTCAACAGTTATCGTCTCGTCACCGATATAGGTAATCTATGTAATAATATAATATAATAATTAGATAGTTACATTTTAAGAATATTAAAAATAAAATATTACTTTATTTAGGTACGAAAAATTAAGTGCAATAAAAATAATTATAAAAACGCGTGTTTTTATGTACTTACTCATGTGTTTTGTTATATAAAATAGTAATTATAATATTGATAATGGTAATACGAGATATTTTGTAAAAAAAAAAGGCATAAGAAAAAAAATTGATGTCTGGGATTTCTAAAAATCTTTCATCAGAACCTGTGTTCTACAAAAACTTAAGAACCACTGCAGTCAAGAGCATAATAAACTGAAGTATGATGGAGCCAATTTATAAGTATAATATATTTATTTTTATTTTTATTATTAATCATTTGTACTTAGTAAATAATCATGTTTTTTACCTTTTCACATTATACGCTATATTATTTAACCGATTATAAAGTAGGTATAAGAAATGTACGATTGTTGGTCTCTCTTTGTGGTATACCAGATGCCTATACCATATTATACCTATTCTATTATTTGTAATTGTATAAAAAACTGCATCTCATTCAAGGAACACAACGAAGAACTACATACAATCCGAAAAGGCATATCGCGTATAACAGGTGGCACTACACTAGAGTATACTGCAGCTATGGGTATGTTTTTGCATTTCTTTCAATAATTATTAGATATTTATTTTTAGTAAAAAATCATGTTTTTTTTTTTATCAATCCGTCTATAAAGTATTAGGCATGTATAATTTATGATAGTCTCCCTTTATAATATGCGACATTACCTATATTCTATTAACAGCTTTATAAAAAAATGCATCTCGTTCAAAGGATGAAATATACAACAATCCAATCAGAAAATCAGTAAATACGTAAAAATTGACCCCTAATACATTGTATATTATAATATAAGCCGTCAATGCCAACAACTCAACTATGAAAGCAACGTGGACGTGATACGAAGGGCTTATGTTGTAGATTCTAAATCCTTTGTGCAAAGAAGATAGCGTTTTTCTTTTAGCTATTGTCATTTGTTTATTTTTGCTCAGAGTATTATATAAAATATATACAACTATACAAGTAAATTTAGACGGAGCGAATAGAAAAGAGACCCTAACCAAATGAAGAAAGAGTGTTCAATTTGCGTTGCTAATACCGTAAGCAAGTTTCCGGTTCAAAGTTTATATTTTCACAAAAAGAAAGTTTTTTTTTTACAAACAAATAATGATAATGATAATAATAATAATAATTGACATAGCGCAGAATTTGTATATACGTATAATATGCACAATGACTTCCACGTCTAGTCCCTTTGAATTTGTTTATAATATTTATAATATCAACAATAACTATAAAAAAATAAACCAGACAAGAGCAAGTCATATAGCTGCTCTTACGGTATACTTGTAATAAAATTGCCGTCATCGCGATTTGAGACTTCGGTCGGTATATATTATTGTTCCTTTAGATGTATTGTTGCCCATTTTCTTTTTGTTAACTTCGCGGTGCTCGTGTGTTTGAAAAACTTGATTTATGCTTACGTCAACATATTATACTAAAAAGTGATTATGTCAATAAGCTCCTTTATTATTATCATTTTTTTTAATCCGTGTAAATAAATCATAATTATTTACCTTAATTTAGTGTATAGTGTATTTTTAGGTATTTATAATTATTCATGATTGACGGTATTCATTAACTGGGTAGCACTAACGAGTAGACACATCACACTAGTGAGTAACTATATAATGGTGCCTATTACACGAGTTTAAGTGAAAACAGAAAGAAAAATCCATTAAAAATGTATTACTTTTACATATTACAGGTAAGCACTATATCTAGCTATATATTACACATTGCATTTAACTATAGTACCCACCTCTAGTGTTTCTAAATTCTAATCATATTATTATATTCACTATCGTTCAATGTTCAAAATATTTTATTCAATTTTCCTTTAAACTACATATGGTAATAATTGCATTACGGTATTATAATAATATAGTACAGGGGTGGCCATCTTACGGTTCACGTCTCCTTAACAAAAATCAAAATGTACTTAATATTTTTTAAAATTATTTTTGGCATATATTCATATAAAAAAAATAAATATATTTTATTGTACCTATAGAATACCGATAAATAATAATAATAAAAAAAAATTACAGCGATCTTTATTACTTGGATAAAATTATAAAAATTATAAAATGTAGGT